TTAACTTTTACCAAAGTAATTTTTTGGTAAGATACTTGTACTTTTACTCAAGTATCACTTTGTGGTACTTTATACAACACTGGTATTTACAGATTCACTTTTACTTTTAATACTTAAGTACAAAAAGTATCAGATACTTTAAAACTTTTACTCAAGGCCTATTTCTTAAAGAGACTTTTAACTTTTACCAAAATAATTTTTTGATAAGATATTTGTACTTTTTCTCAAGTATCACTTTGTGGTACTTTGTACAACACTGTAAATGGTTAAAAATGCCCCTTGGAGTCGTCGGCAGCAGCACACAGTTTGTTTCCTTTTTGTAGATTCACTCCCTGGAGGAGGACGGCAAGCCCGCGCCGATCTGCTGCTTGGAGGTGGAGCGAGGCCCGGACAACAAGTACTTCATCATCGCCACCACGCGCAAGCGCCTGTTCCAGTTTGTGGGTAAGGTGGCGGAAGGCTCGGAGCAGCAAGGCTTCAGCGCCATCTTCAACCAGAACCAGGACCTGCTGCCCAGCTTCCAGGAGTTCCCGGCCAACATGGGGTACAGCGAGATCACGTTCTACACGGCAAAGCTTCGCAACGTGCCCAAAGCGTTTGCCTGGATGATGGGCAACGGGGTTCTGTACGGTCAGCTGGACTACGTCAGGCCCGATTCACTCCTGAGTGACGTTCAGGTGAGTGAGTTCACAGGCGAGCGTTCTCCTCGTTCCTCGCTGTCGCTTGTCGTTCTCACGTTTGTGTTCTTTCTGAGCAGGTTTGGGAGTACACTCCGGACATCGACATTAATGGCGACAGACCCATCTCCATCGTGCTGACCCAGTTCCACTTCCTGCTCCTCCTCCCTGACCGAGTCAAGGCCATCTGCACTCTGAACGGACAGGTGGTGCACGAGGACGTGTTCCCAGACAAGTTTGGCGCCTTGAAGAGGATGATCAAAGATCCCGTGGGCGGCTTGGTGTGGATCTACACGGAGCGGGCCGTTTTCCGCTACCACATCCAGCGCGAATCCAGAGACGTGTGGCAGATGTACATGAGCATGAACAAATTTGACCTGGCCAAGGAGTACTGCCGGGACCGGCCCGAGTGCATGGACATGGTGCTGGCCCGAGAGGCCGAGTACTGCTTCCAGAACAAGCGGTACCTGGAGAGCGCCAAGTGCTACGCTCTGACGCAGAACTACTTCGAAGAGATCGCGCTGAAGTTCATCGAAGCCAAACAAGAGGAGGCCCTGAAGGAGTTCCTGCTCAGGAAGCTGAACAATCTGAAGCCCAGCGAGAAGACGCAGGTCACTCTGCTGGTCACCTGGCTGGTCGAGCTCTACCTGAACCGCCTCGGGCAGCTGGAGAGCGACGGCAACGGCCTCGTCCTCCAGGAAACCCGCGAGGAGTTCCGCGCGTTCCTGAGCAAYGCCAAACACAAAGAGTGCCTGTTCAACAACCGCGGCACCATGTACGACCTGCTGGCCAGCCACGGCAACGTGGACGACATGGTGTACTTCTCCGTGGTCATGCGCGACTACGAGCGCGTGATCTCGCACCACTGCCAGAACGACAACTTCGCCGCCGCCCTGGACGTGCTGGCCAAGCACTGCGACGACAAGCTGTTTTACAAGTTCTCGCCCGTGCTGATGCAGAACATACCCCGGAGCGTGGTGGACGCCTGGATTAAGATGGGCAAGAGGCTGGACCCGAAGAAACTCATCCCGGCCCTGATGAACTACAGCCAGATGGGCAGCACGCAGCAGATCAACGAAACCATCCGYTACATGGAGTTCTGCGTGTACGAGCTGAACGTGACCGAGGAGGCCATCCACAACTACCTGCTGTCGCTGTACGCAAAGTACAGACCAGACTCTCTGCTGCTGTACCTGGACCAGGCCGGCACACACCCSTCAGAGATCCACTACGACCTGAAGTACGCGCTGAGGCTGTGTGCAGAGCACGGCTACCTCCAGGCCTGCGTGCTGGTGTATCGCATAATGGAGCTGTACGAGGAGGCAGTGGACCTGGCTTTACAAGTGAGTTTTTTTTACAATATTTATTCATTTAATTTAAAAACTAATAAATTCACATACAAAAAAATACATATCAAATAAAAATGAAAGGTAGAAAGAAGAAAAAATTCGTATAATATCTGCCTCTATATGTGACCCATCTAATCGAAATGAGGATTAAGTCAAATTTGGTCAAAATGACCTAATTACATTTTCAGATTCTTGGCTTTCAAAGCTACATTTTGACACCTGGATCATTCTGATATAATTAAATCCATATATATGACTTAATTTGTCTTGTTGGTTACAATAATACATAACTATTTGGTCCGAATCCTAATTTTATGTCATTTTAATGAGGAATTTTTGATGTCATTATGAAGAGGAAACCTCAAATGATATGTGAATATTGAGATTTCCCAGCTAAAAAGAAACAAAACTTTGCTAGCTCACAGGGAAAATCTCAAAATTTTAAGGTGTTTTTCCTCAAAATCAGTTTTTTTTGTTGCTACTGCTCAAAAAAGTGCT